CTTATCTTGGGACCTGGGACTCTTGGGCTTTAGAGCAGGCTGTGGAGTAAGGGTTTGTGTGATCCAGAAGGTCTGGGTAAAGAAGTGTAATTAATTATCCATTGGAAATTGGAGCTTTCCTCCTATGTTTGTCACTGGGGATTTACTTATGGGAAAACTTGCTATTGTATTCTCCCATTCTTTGAAGAATGCATAAACCTAGCTTGCCAGCCTTTCTGTCACTCTGATGACATAGAAATATCTTTCCTACTTGAAATGTAGCTAGGGCTGGTGGGGCATGTCTGTAATCCCAATCCTTAGGAGGCAGGAGCAGAAGGATAATATATTGAAAATCAGCTGTAGCCAGGTGGTAGTGGTAACCAGCACTTGGGAAGCAGAGACAGGAGAGTCTCTGAGTTCCACGCAGGACAACCAGGGATACACAGAGAAACCCTGTCTCGAAAAAACAAAAAACAAAACCAAACCCTAGTGTTGTGACCCATTTCTATAGTTCCGGAATTTGGGAGGCTAGCCAGAATTGGAAGTTTAAGGCCAGTTTCTGCTTCAAAGTGAGACCGAGGCTCAAAAAACAAACAGCAAAAACAAAAATCCAGGGCTTGAGAAATGGCTCAGCAGTTAAGAGCACTGGCTGTTCTTTGAAAGGACCTGAGTTCAATTCCCAGCACCTACATACTGGATTACAACCATCTGTAACTTCAATCATAGAGACCAGACACCCTCTTCTAGCCTCCTCAGACACTGCATGCATGTGTACACTAAAAATAATAGAGAAAAACCCACAATAATAAAAAGTTACCTCTTTGCTAAGAAGTTTGTTTTTCTTTTGGACAGAATTAAAAATCAACCACAGGGCCGGGCGTTGGTGGTGCTCGCCTTTAATCCTAGCACTTGGGAGGCAGAAGCAGGCGGATCTCTTTGAGTTTGAGGCCAGCCTGGTCTACAGAGTGAGTTCCAGGACAGCTAGGGCTACACAAAGAAACCAAGAAACCCTGTCTAGTGTAAAAAGTGAGTTCCAGGACAGCCAGGAATGTTACACAGAGAAATCCGGCCTCGAAAAAAAAATAAGAAGAATAAATAAAAGAAGTCACTATGTCCTCAGACTCCAAATGGTTAGAATCCCACTACTAGAGTAGAGTAGTTTGCTTTGTATTTTTGGCTTTGTCTTTACACAGATGGGCACACCAATTACTGGGAAAAGTATATGACAGACAGTTGTCAAAGCAGTTTACTTTAGGACTGTTTCTCTTGGACATAATGTATGAGTTGGGTCATGACAGTTTGGCTATGGAAGGAGGTGAGATTTCATTCTGTCTTTATAATCATGTGAAGGACTTCTTGATGTACACCACTTTTTTTGGCTCAATGCTTAATTATTAACATAACTGTTTTCCACTGCCACTGTTGACTAGGGTTCTCACTCTCCACCTCCTCCTTCTATGACAAAACGTCAACAGTCACCAGTTCAAGCTTTTGAGTGGCCACAGCTGTTATGATGATGCTAGCTGTTGTGCTGAGAGACTATTATTCTACTACTGTATCCTCGAATGAATCTGTTTTCAATCGTGTGTCCCAGTTATATATAGGCATAGATTGGTGACTAGGCAATTTCCCCTAAAAAGTTCACTTAGAGGACCCAGTTTGCCTGTACCCAAAACTAATTCAGGCTGGATTGACCTTCTTCCTCTCATACTGAACATAAATGGGGTGGAACTGAACAAAATCTGTCTAATTTTAATGATCATTAAGGAAAGGGTAAACTTATTCTATTGTTTAGAATGAGATGTGCATGCAGCCTGAGGCAGGTGGATTCCCAAGGTTGCTAACAAGTTGCTAGGTACATTTTTTGGAGGGTGTGTGTGTATAGTGTATGCAGCTAAGTGTTCTAAGCTGCTCAGTACATTATCAGAAATGGGGTATATGCCTAGGCCAAACCAGGTGAAGTCCCAGGTGGCTAAACTATTTTTCAAGGTTGTCATCTCCAAGAGACATTTCTCTTTGATTTCTTATGGTAGATGAAGGCAGATCAGCCTTCCTTGGGATTGCTTGTCCTAAGAACTAACTTTCTTTCTTTTTTTTCAAGACAGGGTTTCTCTGTAGCTTTGGAGCCTGTCCTGGAACTTACTCTGTAGACCCGGGTGGCCTTGAACTCACAGAGACCCACATGCCTCTGCCTCCGAAGTTCTGGGATTCAAGGTGTGAGCCATCACCACCTTTTCTATATGTATTAAGACAAAAAAATCATTCCTTCTGGAGATTTAAGTAAATTTCCCCTTGTTAGGCAGTAAATATAAGGCTTTCTATTTTGGGGACTCACTCCTTCAAGGCAGTCTATTTGATATTGAATTTGGGCTAGACCCTCTGCAATTGTTTTTATAGTCATGACACTTTTTTTTCTTTGTAGTTATTTTTTTTGGGGGGGGTCCAGGCAGGGTTTCTCTGTGGCTTTGGAGGCTGTCCTGGAACTAGCTCTTGTAGACAAGACTGGTCTCGAACTCACAGAGATCCGCCTGCCTCTACCTCCCGAATGCTGGGATTAAATAAAGGCACACACCACCACCACCTGGCTTTCTTTGTAGTTTTATTTTATTTTATGTGTATGAGTGCTTTGCCTCATGTATGTCTGTGCACCACACACTTGCCTGGTGTAGGTCAGAAGAAGGCATCAGATGCCTGGAACTAGAGTTATGGGAGGTTCTGAACCACCATATGGAGCTGGGAACTGAACCCAGGTCCTCTGCAAGAGCAACAAGAGCCATCTCTCCAGCCACTCCTCAGAACTTTTATCACAGAAACATTTGCTGTTACATATCCCAGAGAGAGGAAGTACCTTTCCAAAAAGGAAGCAATATTTTAAAAGCCTGTTGCCCACAAATAATATAGAAGTCTTGTGACTTGGGTAGCTTGTGTGGGAGGTGTAAAGTGTGGTTTTCTGAAGATTTTCATGTGGCAAATTATGCTGAGGCCATTAGTGGATTCAGTTAGCAATTAGAGATACATAATTGCAAGCTTGGTCCTTAGGATAACTCCTTATGCCACCAAACTAGCTCTGAGAAAAGGGGATCTTCCAGGTTGTTTTGACGATTTGATTGTCTATCCTTCCAAAGTGTAAAGTACCTCTTCCAATATCCCACAGGAACCAGAGAATTTGTAGTTATATTTGTGAGGAGAAAACATCCATTCTTACTAGATTTTTGTAGGAAGGGAGTCCGAGTTGGTCCAGATTGGGGCCTTCTCCAGCAGAAATCTGAGCTGAGCTGAGCGTAATCAAACAGGGAGGGGCATGGTGCTGCACTCCTGTAACCCTGGCTCTCAGAAGGCACAGGCAGACAGATCATAGTGAGTTCTAGGCCAGCCAGGGCTACATAGTAAGATTCTGTCTCAAAAAGAAAGAGGGGGTTCCAGTATTGCAGCCCAAGAGGCCAGCTCTCAGGACTGCACCCAGGGTAGCAGAAAGAATGCCTTCAGCGTATCAGGGCTTAGTAAACAACTCTTATCAACCTGAAGGTCTTTAGGAAAGGACCGTCTCATTCTGATGGTAACTTAAGAAAAAAAAAGGAACAAGCACACGCTTTCCTGATGGCAACCTTCTCTGCTCCTTCATCTTGAAAAATCTCTCTTTCTTGACAATCTCCTCTCTATACATCCCTTTACATACAGACACATCTCTTCTCCACACATCTATCTCTCTGCTATACTCATGTCCCTGTACTCTTGTTGCATTTCTTCCCACAGCTGCTACATCTCTCTTCCACATCATTCACTCACACACTCCTCTCTCTCTCACACACACTTCTCATATTCATATACACTCTTATTTCAGAACGAGCTCAAAAAATTATACTTCGGGTCACATAGCATTTCTTGAATAAACAATAAGAAACAGAGCCATCCTGATACAAAAGGAATCACATGGTTTCTCTCAGGTTTAGAATATCACATTGACTGGCTGGAAATGAGTAACCACGGCAACGCTTGACAATGCAGGCAGGAGGCATGGTCTATCTACACATAGCCTGAGAGACATCATGGAGAGTGACACTAAAATTCAGGACCTAAGCAATAAACAGAGAGTGAACCTTGAGCCTTGAATCAAAACAGTGAGGTTAGGAGTACATGCAGAAAGTCAATTGCTCCAGGGAGCTATGTCTCAATGTTATCAGCCTGACTTTAGTTCAGCAAACAAGACACCCGGGAGCTTGCCCTTGTGCATATTTTGCAGGGGCAACTAGTCTATTTTGGATTTGTTTTGAGGTCTAAAATCAGCCAATAGTGTAAAAAGCTGTCTTTGTAATTTTTCTGTCAGTCTGAGCTATGAAAATTACCCTAGTATTATTTATATTCATTAAAATTGTACAGTTTAAGTAGAAATCATCTTCCCGACTATCCATGACTATAAGTGTGCCCAGTAGATGGAATACATACATACATACATACATACATACATACATACATACACATGATATGAGGAAAAATTGCAATAGAAGCAACTAGTTTTCAGAGTCTGTGGCCCCATAAGCCTTGCTTGATAAGGTTTTCTCCATCAGAGAGTTATTCATCTGGTGATGGGGGAAGTGCTTCTGTGTATGTGTTTGTCTTATTGGATGATAAATAAAGTACTGTTTGGCCAATGAGGCAGCAAGTTAGGAGGATTCTGGGAAAGGTAGGAGAAAGTGTAGAGTCATCATGTGAGTCCAGGAAGACAGGACGCTTGTTGCTGGTGTCCAATAAGATAAGTCTTATAAAAAAGACAGGACGATTGTTGCTGGCGTCCAATAAGAT